TGTGAGTTGTTCATCCCAGTTCTCAGTTATTGAATTTTTAGGTAGAAATAAAAGGAGCCTTTATTTGAATTGTAAAATTGTGAGTTGGAGTTCTTTATTTTTTATTTTTTTATCCACCAATCTGATCTTTTTTTTAAAAATCAATTTATTACAATTTATTAATTTGATGACATTTAATGGACAAATAAACGCAGACAAATATACAGTTTTGTATCTAAACTACATACAAGTGCAATTCACATAAACACAGATGCCAGATATTAAAAAGAAACACACCCAGTGCACCAAACAGAAGCAGGCATGCACTGACCTGCAAGTCCTCAGAGACCGCTGTCTAAGACTGACCCTGACATGTTACAGTGAGAGTGTGTGCGCGTGCGTGTGTGTGTGTGTGTGTGAGTGTGTTGTCAGGGTTCAGCTCACTAACACTGCAGGTGGTTCAGTGGCTTTTGGTATTTCCTCTTAATTGGTTGATTTGCAACCCACTCGAAAACTGTTTGGATTTTTGACACCTGCTCACAGCTGACACACAACGCACACACACACAGACGATGCCACAGACATGTTAATGCATAAACACACACACACACACACACAGATGCAAAGATCCATAAATGCCCTCATGACTCATGAATATACACACAAACGCAGACGGCAGCACAGTGCAGGCCTCTTTTCTCTGCATAGCCTCGGCACCTCCACCCGGCTCTCATTAATACACACTCGAATGACAGCTCGCTGTTGCCATGGCGACCCCCTACCTGTTGCCAAAGGAGGCTGGTAGTTTAGGGGGCTTGTGAACGCTGCTCAAAACTATTGCAGCTCAATTTTTTTATTTTAGCTGTGTGTCAGGAAGCTGCCAGTGCTGCTCCAGGCACGCACAATTAACCACTTTGGAGCAGAGAATAGTTTCATTCATTTCAATGCAATTCAATCTGGCTCACTTCAGTGCAAAGCTATGCCCTGTTCTGTGTGTTTTGTTATGAGAGAGGCTGAATTCTCCTCAGGAGTAAAATAGGCCTACTCCAATATATGATGCTCTATTCTAATTCTTCTCTTCATTTTCGTACTCGTCTGTTCGACGTTATTCATTCCGGGAAGATAAGATGAAACTAACTTGAGGAAATTGCTTTGCTTAATTCATCATTCCGAGCTGCTCTATTCTAATTAAATCACTGCATATTCTATTCTTGCTCTGCTATTCTTCTTCGCCACACCATTCTATTTTATATTGTTAACAAAGGTTTTATACACTGCTGGAAAATGGCTTTCTGGGCTAATTGTGCCGTGGAGGGATTCTTCTTGCTTCTCAAGAGGAAGTTTAGGAACTATACAGAAACTGTACATCCATTAAAAATACATGAAATATTCCAAATCAGCACTATTAAGAGAAGATGCTTAAAAATCACACCCTTGCTGCAGTTTCTCCCACAGGTTTTTATGCACCACGATAACTTCAAACTCAAAGTTTTTTTCTATTCGTCTATATTCTGCTAATGTGTGGTGTTATTTTTTAATGACCCATGGCTTACATGCCTGTGCAGCCATGTTGGCCAGGGATTGCTGGGGTTAGGGTAGGATGTAGGGTTTTAGCGTCTTTATGTGTAAAGTTTGCATGTTCTTGTGTATGCGTGGGTTCCCTTCAGGTAGACCAGCTTCCTTCTAAAGCCCAAAGACACGCAGTTAGTGGGGTTAGGTTAACTGGTGATTCTAAATGCCCATAGGTGTCAAGCTGAGTGTGAGTGATTGTCTGTCTCACTGTGTTAGCGCTGTGTCAGACTGGCAACCTGCCCAGGATGTTTCCTGCTGCTCGCACTATACATACACATATACATACACATGCGCACACAGAGGTATGGACCTAAATGTTGTATGTTTAATTGGTAGTTAAATGTTGACCTTTTATAATATCAAAGGTCAAGCATATCCATGTTACACCTATAGAGGTGATTTTTCTTGCTTCAGCACTGTGTGGGTGTGTACAAATGAATTAAAGCTGAAATCTCGGTCACTCACTTATTTAGTTGCATTCTTTAGGGAGGGGATTTTTTTTACCTTGATCATTGTGATTTTCACATGGAGTCTAGTGAGATGGCTTTCCTTCAGCCTGAGCAAAGGTCAATCAAAAGTCTGTTACACTGTGTACAAAGACAGTGCTGAAAGTGACAACTGATAATTAAATGGTACCGTCTGGCTATAGTCAAAGTGGAAGTAGATGCTCATATTAAATGTTTTTAAAGTTTAAAATAATGATGGCATATGCACAAATAATCTGCTCTCTTTTTGCACTCCTGGTTTTGGTTGATTTCAACAAGACTGGATTTTCCCCTTTATCGGTTACTAGATGAGCTGCACCCCAAGCACAGCACATGCTCTGTCGACTTAAATTTTTATCCAACACTTTCTGCTTTGACCTAGCTACTCTGCAGGTTTTCAAAGTTAATCAAAAATGCCTTTACTGTGGTAAAGCTAAATGCACTTAGCAACAAGGAATCCATATTAAAAAAAATTTTTTTGAACCCAACAGGAGGTAAAGGCACACGCTCACTTCACAGAGGGCTTTCATCAACAAAGCTCAGTATGAAGCTAGTTTTTCGGTTATGCTAATGCTAACACTGTTCCACCATAAAAGCATTTTTTTTTTACATAGTAGATACATCCAGCGGCCCACTTCAACTTTAGTATAAGATAAATGGGTAATTTTTCAACTTTGACTCAAACAATTAAAAAAAAAAAAAAATACAAATACAAAGCTAAAAATGAACATTTGTTTTTACCTAAACAGGCAGCAGACTTTGTGCTATTTCATAATTCAGACATGATGTCTAAAGACAAAACTTCTCAAAGGGCCGAGTCTGGTTTAAAGGGTTGCATTTCTATATAAAACAAAAAATGTCCCCTTTTCATTTAAATTCAGACTAACAAAATGAAATATAGTGATGGACAGTGCTTCGGTCAATGCAACAATAGAATAAGACAAACGAGAGCATTTTAAACTTAATAAAGCAGCAGTCACGGTCTATAATCAAGTGTATACCAGCAGACTTTAGCTTCAAACACCAGCCACCCTACCCCCCTGGTCTGGTATATCTCATATTCTTTCATTTGATTACAGTAAAAGTCCGGAACAAAATCAAGGCTTTTCTCATCATGCACTAAAGTTGCACCATCCTTCCTGGAACAAAGTAAGCTAACTGCAGCTTAAATCAGTGTGATACAACCCTGCACACAGAGGGTTCCCGTGCAGAGTCGGCCAACACAAGCAACTGGTGAGGTCTCAAGACTGCGTTTGTAACACTGCAAAAACCAGTCCAACTTTACATATGATGTAATGGAACAGATTCAAACCGTTTCATTGGGTTTTTTTCTGCTCGGCCACACACACACACACACTCACACTCCACCTGAGCTCTTGCAGAGCTAGCACAAAAAAAGCTGTCTCTCTCCATCACAAGGAGAGAGACAGCTTCAAATAAGACAGACACACACTCGCACACTCCAAGGCCACACAGAATATTGTAGTTGGTCCTGTCA